TACTCACACAGTGTGTGTTAGTGTTTGTTGTGTACTCACACAGTGTTGCAGTGTGTGTTGAAGTCGGTACAGCAGGTCATTGTAGTGCAGGGGGAGGAGCTTCTGAATGACGTCTCTGCTGAACACACTCCTCTGGTAGATGTCAATCATTTCCTGCAACTCCAGCCAACCAATCACACGCTGAGGAGGAAACAATCACCAGTGATTTATTGTGAGCCATGCTAACAATAAATCATGCTAACATTTAATAATTAGTGATTAGAAGGAAACTGATGTGATGAATTTTTCTTTATTAGTTCATAAAATATGAAGAATTTTAAAATACGGTTATTAAACTCTGACATCATCAACACTTTTCATCCAGTTCAGAAATATTTTGGACAGATTAACAAAATGTTGAGTCTGTTTTTGTTGTGAATCAAAGAGCTGGAGGATGATGGACGAGACGTCACATCAGAACTCACAACAAATAAAACTGTTCTTTTCCTGCCGGCATCAAACCTCCTCAGACTCACTTCTGTCCACAACAACTCCCTCGGTGAAATCCAAACTTCCCGCTCCACTGAACAAGTGTTTCAGCTGCAGCGTGTTGGGAAACACCTGGAAACCACTGGTTTGCCGAGTTCATGTTTGTGTGAACAGAGCATTGTGTTTGTGTTGTGCGTTGTGTTTTGTTAAACTTGTTTCTGTAGCAAAACTAATTAACAGGAGAAAGCTGATGTTGTGGTTGAGGTTCACCGAGCGGACACATCACAGCTGACAGCTGAAACCTCAGCAAAATATCTACTTCCACTTGTGACGTGTAAAACCAGACTCACTGGTGACAACTGTGTTAACGATCAAACATTCACTGACCTCAGGACATTTGGTGCAGAACTTGGGCAGAAGTCTCAGACGCCTCGAGAAAGTTTTTTCTCTCTGGAGATAAAAACATGAAAACTCATTTGTTTTATATTCATATCTATAACGGAGGAAAATCCGTCCACCTCTGAAGACAAAGACGGGTCATTGAAAGATTCACTAAAAGTAAGTTGACATTGAATTCAAATCTTCAGATGTTTCTAGTTTCTGGGAAGTAAAAGTGCTTTGAGTGTTTTTAGTCAGAAACTCTTTGATCTGATGAGAAACTCTTTGATCTGATCAGAAAATGTGTTCTAGTGTCAAAACTACAATTTCTGCTCTCTCACTTCCTGTCACAGCATCACTCGTGTAATATGAACGATCAATCGCTGATGTGAAACCACACCTTTTTTTAATCTATAAAAATCAGATCAGATAAAATTCTTGTATTTTGAAAGAGCCAATTCCAAATTGTTTTGATTTTTTTCAAATGTTCTGAATAGTGATTGATAATGTATTCACTTTATTTTGACAGTCTGTGTTTAACTGATCAATGAAGAGCACTCATCAATATAATGAAAACATCTGAATCAATCAATCTCATTTTCTGTATTTGATCAGCTCGAGTAATGATTCACTTCGAGATGATGAACGTTCTGATTCCTGTGGAACTAAACAAGATTCGTTTCTTGATATTTTCAGTCTTCATCTTCAAATAATAATATGTGTGTAATTAATAATTAATCTGTCATCCAACTGTTGTATTGACTGCTACAAAAATCATTGATAAACTCATGTTTATTCATTGATTATTGACATTTAATTCAAATTGCTGATTAGCAGACTAATCACAAGAGTAATTATTAGAATTTAATAAATAGTAAAATCAACACAAATGTCTCATTTCATCTAATCTGAAATATTGATCAACAGCCAAACAACATATATGATATAAATGATATTGACAGCTTTACATGTTTCTGATATGTTGATAATGAAACTAATCAGTAAGAGTTGAATGATCAACAACAACCTACAGATCGTTCTTCAGATGTGTGGTATTGATCTTACCGGCAGTCTTCGGATCAGCTCCGAGTGTCGGCTCCACAGTTGCCGGATGAGCTCGGCCGGGATCTCCTGCCGGCAGGTGAGCCCCGGCCGGGCCGTCGCCGTGGCAACAGGGAGGAGGCTGAGGAGAGCGAGCGCCGACGCTCGGACGAGGAGGAGGAAGAGGAGCTGCATCTTCAACTGCAGCAGGTTCAGTTTGTCCTGACACATTTATACCTCCTCCTCTCCTCCTCTCCTCCTCTCACCACTCCCTCTCTTCTTCGTGTTCTTCCCTCTGTGCTGTTGAAAAACTTTCCTGATGTCACAGCTGGAGTCTCCCCTCTGATGTCACCTCCTTTTCTCTCCTCTTCCTCCTTTTCATCCTCTCTCCTCTCTTTCTTTCTCTTAGCTGACTCTCCGCCCCCTCGTTCACCTTCACCTTTTGTCCTCTTTCTTCCCATATCCTCTTTCCCCCTTTTTGTTCTTTCATTTCCTCTTTCTCCTCTTTTCTGTCTAAATTTTCTCCTCCTTTCTCTTCCTACTCTTTCTTCCCTTTTCTATAATTTTCTCCTCCTCCTTCTCTTTTATTTCTTTTCCTTCTTCTCCTCCTATTTGCTTTTCTCCTTCTCCTGAGTTCTCTCTCTTTCTTCCTTTCTTTCTTTTCTCCTGTGTCCTCTTCCTGCTGTCTTTCCTCTCTCCTCCTCTCTCTTCTCATCTCTCTCCATTCTTGCTTTCCTTCCCCTCTTCTTCACCTCCCCTATTCCTCTCCTTGGTCATCTCCTATTTCTTCTCCTCATCTTGCACCTCCTCTCACATCTCTCTTTTCTTTCTTCCTCCTCTTCCTCATTTCCCTTTGCCCCCCAATTCCTATTTCCTCATCCCCCTCTTCCACTAGTTGCTTTCATTCCTCTCATCCGCCTCTTCTCTCCTCTTCTTCCTTTCTCCACTTTATTCTCTTCATTGTTTTTCCTCATTCCTCCTCTTCGTGGTCTTTTTTAATTTCTCTCCTCCCCTGTTTCCTTCCTTATCTCCTTCTCTACTTGTTCTCTCTTTTCCTGTCTCCTCTGTCATCAGAACGGCGGCGGCGGCGGCGTTGAAGATGTCATTTGTGTGAAACCTGGTTTTTGTGTTTAGATTTTGTGGTCAGATAAAACTAGGTTGTGACTGTGAAGAAAACTGTGACTCAGCAGGTTTGTTTCCCACCTCGGCAGGTTTCAGAAAGCGCCGAGTCAACGTCCGACCCAGATCGCAGATGATGGGAAGCATGTTGATGAAGCACATTTGTCTTTCAATGGGTTTGATGATCAACTCGTTCATTAATTAAAAAGTATAGATAGAAAAGAATATAAAGAAAATAATGAATTCAACTTGTGTGGCGCTTTTGAACCATCAGACTTGGTTCTTTAAAGAAACTTGTATATAAACTCGTGAACAATAGTAACTGTAAGAAAATTCAGTTTTGTTTGATAAACTCTTCAGTGCAGATGAACCAGGTTGGATGAACACAAAGTTTTCTAACTTCACTCTGCACCTGTTTATAAAAAACTCAACAAACAATAAAAAGTGACCGAATATTGTCGAAGAGTTTGAGGACGACTCACTAACGACGAGGAATAATTCTGAAGAGAGAAGATTACAAATAAACACTGTTTCTATATAATATAATATAAAACAATATGATGTGATATAATATAGAAAAGCGCTGATGAGACTTAATCCTGACGTTTCTTTTACAGCCTGCGGTGATGATGTCACTGGCATTGACATTTTCCTCCATCGAGCGGGTTGTGTTTCGATGTGCGGTCGAGTTAAAGTAGGTTGCATCTTTGTCGACTTGGCCGGGAAACGGTGACTGTGCAGGTTTGTTGTCAGTGAAGTGACGAGCTGCTGTTCGACCCATTTTACAGTCTCACAACGTGTTCTGGTCAAAAACCTGTTTCCCTCTCCCCTCTGCGTCACAACACACACACACACACACACGCACACACACACACACACACACACACACACACACTGTCTCCGTGGGTTTCTCCAGGTTCCTCAAACAGCGACAGTTAATCAGTGACTCTCTCTGTGAGAATGTGACGAAGTGAAGAAAACTCTGAATGTGACTGAACAGGAGCCGAGAACGAGTCCAAGCACAAGTTTGAAATTCTCCGAATCGGAAAAGCCTCTGTGTCTGTGTCTCTGTCTGTGTCTCTGTCTGTGTCTCTGTCTGTGT